TGGCTTTGTCGATGGCAACAAGAAGGTCATCGGTCGCCTGAACGACGTCGGTGAGCAGGTCAAGATGATGCTCAACTGTCAAAAGTACATGGCCGAAACTGGCGAGAGCGGGTTGCATTAATTGTGTCGGACCAATGTCTTCAGCAGCGTGTCATTGCATTGTTTTCTTTGGAGGCTTTCTGGGACTGGAGTAGGAGGAGTTTGAAAATATTGACTTGGCACGTATGGGCTACCCAACGCATTGGATAGTACCAGCTGGTCTTTCTTCTGCAGGCTTGCATCCTGCTGGCACGATGCCACTTTGCATGGAAGGGTGTTAAATACAGGCTTGCACAGCCACTTCTCATTGTACATTTCATACAATCCATAATTTAGACTCGCTTGGTCTGCTTGGTGCTATTTCGCGAAGCTGACACTCCGGGGCAACATAACTTGAAGTGGCCTCTCGACATGTCCGATGTCCGTTGTCTCTCATGGACGTAGATAGCCTTCCACTTATTCTCAACCGGCCGGTCTTAGCCTCATGCATATTCGACCCCGAATGTAAACTTTGGTGTCAATGTAAACGCCTCCGCGCTGATGCTGACGTAGACTGACCTTGTTCGCCGGTGCTTGGGGGACCTGGCTCCCTCTGGGCCCTAGGTCGGTGAAGCAGATGTAAATTACGGAGCTGCAGAAGCATGGGACTGACTACAGGACTTGAATCGTCCTGTCCGGAAGCTTTCATACATGACGTGCACATTGATATAAGACAAGCTTTTGTGGGTTCAAGAGTCAGGAGTAGTTATTTGATATTGCATCACACAGCCTGGGCCTTATTTGCGCGATCGGGCGCATGTCTTTCAGCCGATCAAACGACCGATGCCCGACGCTCAATGTTCACCCACATGTCTTCAAAGTAACTGACACCGCCCTTGACCAAATACTTTGCCGGGTTCTCCTTGTTTAAGATTTCCGGCTTGAACGTGCGGAAGAACTGCAGCGGTGCCTTGTAGAGCTCCATCTTGGCAATCTCCTGTCCGAGACAGATGCGGGCGCCGTACCCGAACCCCATGCTGTACTTTTGATACTCCTTCGCCTTCTCGGCGTCCAACCACCTCTCGGGGCGGAACACCTCGGCATCGGCCCCGTAGATGTTGGGGTCCCGGTGGACGAGCCAGGGGTTGCATGTGACCTCTGTGCCCTCGGGCACGAATTGGCCGGCGAGCTCCATGCCGCCCTTTGGCGCGAGGCGGGGGAAGATGTTGGGCGCCGAGGGGTTGAGGCGCATGCTTTCCTTGACGCAGGCGATGTAGTAGGGGCAGTGGGTGGTGACCTCGTCGTACTGGGGCATGGCCGAAAGCTTTCCGTCGCGGGTGACGGCGTCTATCTCGGCCATGAGCTTGTCGTAGACCGCGCTGTTGGACATGATGTGGAGCATGAGAGCTTGGAACGCGGTGCCAGTGGTATCGGCGCCCGCGAGGAGGACGAGCAGAATCTCGGCCTTGATGTAGTCAAGCGTCAGGGGCTCGCCGTTCTCATCGCGCGCCTCGATAAATCTGCCGGCAAAGTCAGTACCGGGTAGTATGTTCGGGTGTGCAACGATCGACGTACGTTTGAAGCAGATCGATGCGTCCGCCCGTCGTTCCGGCCTTGATGTCGTCGAATCTCTTGGTGATGAGGCGGTCGCGGAAGCGCATCAGAGTGCCGATTCCCGAGTCTTGTTCAGGGCTGGCGACAAGATACTTGCCCAAAAAGGTGCTCTTGACCCAGTTGGTGAAGGGATAGCAGCGAGCCATGATACCAAAAGGCACGAGACCGTCGTGGAAGCCCTGGATCAGTCCCTCGACGTCCTTCCCCTGCTCCACAAAGCCAAACGGCGCGCCGAACCCGACCTCGGAAATGACATCGTAGGCCATGTAAACCGCCCAGGGCGCAAAGTCGAACTTCTGGCGGGGCTTCGCAAACATGTCGTCCAGCCTGTCCACCCAGCTCTGGATCCTGTCATCGATCATGGGCTCCATCTTCTTGACGTGGCTGAAGCTGTACGACGAAGCGGCGACCTTGCGGAAGCGCGCGTGGACGCTGGCGTCCTGCATGTTGAAGAGGGACTCATCCTTGCCGAAACTGCCCGTGATGTAGTGCTTCGACTTGCTGGCGTTGCGGCTGTAAATCTGTGGGAGCTTCGTCGCGTCGCTGACGAGGAGCATCGTCGGTGTGATGCGGATGACGGGACCTGGCAATCACATCAGTTAGGATTGACAGGCACGAAACGGTTCCGGCCCCAAGTCAGCAATTACCATATTTCTTGTGCAACTCTTGGTATGTAGCACACTCATCCTCCTTCACGTTGTGATAGGTGATCCATAGCCTGGTGACGCTGCCCCAGAACGAACCGGGGAACTTGGCGAGCGGGTGGAAGAAGCGGTAGTGAACCACTTGATACACAACATTGAAGGTGACATAAGCCACAATCAGCAGCGTCAGGCTGCTGAAGCTGAGCAAGGCCATTCTCGTTGACTGACTCAAACTCCTGAGTTATGCACCGACGGCAGTTGAAGAAGCGTGTGGCTATCCGAGACAGATGCAGGGGACCGCGGACTGATGAACTGCTGGCTGTGCTTCTGAAGAGATGCGAGGACCCTCAGCGATAAATGAACAACCTGGAGGGGTCCAAAGGGATTGCCTCACACCCGGAAAACATCCCACATCTCCTCAAAGCCGATGCTGCGGGCGAGCTTAGGCATGACCAATGACGAGCTCTTGGTTACAGATGCACCCAAAACTGAGATGGCACCTGTCGCATCGCGCGGGTGCGCATTGCTGTATGCAGACGAGACGGCATTAGTGACTAGAGTCAGCACAAAACGGACATGGTTTCCTGCATGATACCCCATCTGATACCTCTCGACCTCAGTCGCTGCGACGGGGTCGATCTCTTCCATAAGACGACAAGTGCCCGGCATAGAGCGGGTGTGGTGGACCCAAGGGGCATCTGCTCCATTAGTTGGTTCAGTTCAAAACTGACAATGGAGATCGTCCTAATATAACCCAATCACTGACACCTTTCCGCCGACGCCTCTCCCGGTCAATCCCCCGGCTCACGACTCGCTGTTGCTACGAAAATGGGGGCACATGCAATGGAACCTTACGCGGACGGCTGTGCACGCCGATCGGAGGATTGAACACGAAGCGTGAGGCGGGGCCCAAAACTCCACTCGCGTCTGCTGCATTGAAGCTTTGGCCTATTACTGATCAACTCGATGCTGAAGAATTTCTGACATCTGCAGGTCCTGCGGCAGCCAAGAGTCCCGAAGCCTTGTTGGCCCTTCCAAGTCCCCGTAGACTGAGAATGACTTGACGTGCTGCCTAGCTGCAGAAAGGCCCTTTCTTGTGGAGAGCCTTCATGGATGTTGACGTATCATGAGTGACGGTTGGTTATTTCAACGTCGAGCATGGGTGGCTACGGTTGACATCCTCCACTCCACACCCCTGCCTTGAAGCGGAAGCGCTAGATTTGTCTCCCCGGACCTGACAGGCAGCAGTAGTGCGGAAAGATTGAACGGCGGGCGTCATCCGTCCTCTTGCTGACTTTGCCAGGCGTGACGGCGCCAAAGATCGAGGCTGGGCTCGCTCAAAGTGCTGCTCCGTGTACGTTGAGTTATCACTTTTCAGCAGTTCCCTGAGCTGGCGCCAAGGACCGTGGCGAAGGACGGGCACGCGAGCCCCTGAATCCGCTCTTTTCAGCATCCTCCACGGGTTCATGGTGTTGATTTTGTCGATCCAACGGATGCGCGCAAGGCGCGCAAGAGTAGGTCATCACCGCTTTGATCCTTTCGGCTCAATCCTGCCCAGCAGGCGAAGATTGGGCCAAAACTTTGCCAACGACTAATTTGGCAGAAAACGGCTTCATGCGAGTTGACGTCGGCAGCGTGATGTCATTATCTTTCGACTCAAAGAGCGTGAGCCGCATGGATTCTACTGCCATGTTGCAGGGGCTCCCTCTCTCGGCTGCCAAACGCGGCAAATCTCGATCAAGAAAATGAATGCAGGCCAAGCGGTCGTCCACACAGATGGCTAATGCAAATTCTGCGAACTTTTTCCGATGAAACAGCTCCCTCATCGCCGACAGTCAAGTTTCTTTCGGCACTTACCTTGTCGTTCACCGTCTCCTTGGACACTTCAAAATCTGTTCAGAAATGCCAAAACGACAGTGCCTGATCGACTGAGCCCAACCGAAAAGAGAATTTTGAACGTTCATCTTTACTTCTGTGGGAATCAATGTCACTATATGCAACAGGTCCATGCTGCTGGGCCTCCGTTGGTCCAGGAACAGGAAGCTGCATCAACTAGGCAGATTCAGACAAATTGAAGTTGGACCCCGTCAGTTGCCTTCCAGACCTTCCAGCCCACCTTTCGTACATGGATGCAACGCGGAATGTTGGTGATGGGTTTCCGATAGGCTGATTAAGTGGAGGCTGGAGTTTTGTCGTTGCATTCGCCCAGGATGATGCCGTGGCCAACCCCGGTCGAGCCCTCGGGCCGCAGGAACACTTTTGGCATTTGTGTATGCAAATCTCTGACATGTCATTCTTGAGAGTAGGGCTGGGTCTGTGCATCCAACGCCTGCTCGTGTGCGTGATCTCATGGTGTGGCGAGGCCGAGAGGCGCTCGAGGACACCCATATTGCAGTGTAGTCTGATGTTTGGAACAAACATGCCGAGATCGTCTCCTTCCATGGGCATTGGTTCCGGTTTGCATGTAACCTCCTTTCCGAGTAATGCAGGTGCTGGCCCAAGAAACTGTAACACATCTGACATGAGGCTCTGTTGTTCAGGGATTTAACTCATGCAACCCCTCTCTCCACGTCGGATGTCGGTTGACAGTCGTGGTGCATATTGTATTGATATATTGACGCATTCCCGGTTTCGCTACCTCTGCCTTTGGCGTTCTAGTACACGCTCTTTTCATTTCATAAGTAATCTCTGACAACGGTTACACGGTAGTGTGGTCTGGTCGCCATGTCTGAGACGCAGGGCCCGACTGTCATTGCAGTCGCCGCTGTTTTTGCTGTTTTACTCTTCTTTACCCTCATTTTGAGGATATATGCCAGAGTCGCTGTCGTCAAGTCCGTTGGGCCAGATGACTGTAAGACTTCCATACACCTTTGCAAGAAGATTGCTGACGCTGTTGTTCAGACCTCATCATAGTTGCTGCCGTAAGAAGCCCAACCTCCCGCCTTTGCAACATCAGGTTTCTCACCAGAACAGCTTCTATCTTGGGCTTTCATTGCTTGTGTCATCAAGTGTAAGTTACCAGAAACCAAGGGAAGGACGCAAACATGCTGAGAGAACCTAGCCGTGGAACATGGCCTCGGTAGCCACTATCCAGAGGTTATAGCCCGCGGAACCGAAAACTTCATCACCTATCTGCAGGTGGTATGGCTTTCCTCCATCTTTTACAACGCCTGTCTCGGCTTCATCAAGATTTCGGTCCTCGCTCTCTACATGCGCCTCGGCGATCGAAAGCTTCGCCGTGTCGCCATGGTTATGGTTGGTGTCATATGTTGCCAGGCTGGCGCCAACGTCCTGGCTTGCATTTTCCAATGCGCGCCCGTGAGCGCAGCCTACGACGTCCGCATCCTGCCCACAGACAAGAAGTGTATCGACATCAACGCCTTCTATCTTGCCAATGCCGCGGTCAACATTTTTACCGACATTCTAACCTACACGCTCCCGATTCCCTTGGTTGTCAAGCTGCAGATCCCTCGTCAGCAGAAGATTGGCCTGGCCGTTATCCTAGGCCTAGGTCTCTTGTATGTACATCAAAGGCCTGATGGCGCCCGCGGCGATACTGACGTTGATGTGTGCAGTGCTTGCGTGTCCTCCATCATCCGAATTACCTACATTCCCCAGATGCTCGTCTCCGATGACCCCACCTGGGCTATCACGGGCGCGATGTACTGGTCAGTTATCGAAACGAACATTGGTATCCTGGCCGCCTCGATTCCATCCTACAAGGCCATTGCCAAGCGCTACGCTCCTCGCCTTTTGGGAACCTCAAGCAACGGTAGCCACAAGCGTTCTGTTTTCAAGATGATGAAGGGTGGCAGTGGTGGTCCCAGCCAGCACACCGGGGGCGACATGAAGCCGACGAGCACGAAGCCTACTTTCAGCACGTTCGACACACACGCTACGAATGACAACAGCAGCGAGGAGGTTCTCTTCACACCGACGGGGCGGATCGGTGTCAAGACGGAAATCGTTCACCAGTTCGAGGAAGCGGGCAATGGCCAGGATAGCTTCGGAGGTGGGCTCCCTTTGCAAGGTGTGCGACACAGCAGCAAACCCGACTCTGGGTGAGTAATGGTTCAGTTGATTTGAAGATCTAGCTGGTGGCTGATGTGATCTCTTAGGCTGGGCAGATCGTCAGCGTCGATCCATGGGGGTTCAAGAAGCTCTCGATAAACTTGAGTTCTTGGGTGTGGAGTGTGAGGCCAGGGTCAAAGCACTGATGCTATATGCTATCAGACGCCTGATCCTCTCAGGCAGAGCCGACTGAGTTTGTACTGATACGGGCGATAAGAATAAAAACATTGCTCGGTCCCGAATGCATAGTATGAAGAATGTGACATCGGCGATGTTTTACCAATGAAAGACCACTCCTGTTCCTGATACATCATGGAAAGAAAACCGTCTATGTTTTACGTTAGGGCACCTTCGGCAGTGCCCTCAAATGCTTCAGATCTCGTCCAAAGCTCGCATTTCTGCAGGTCGCCATGTCCACCGCCTCTACAACAAAGACACTCCCTACCATACACGATCATTTTGTGATGGAACGCAAAGTTGATGCTATCAGACAGCTCTGCGTCCAGGCCCGCCCGTGTGGCACTGGCATCAGCACATTGCAGCCATTAGCACCGCATCCCAGAGAGGCAATAGCGGTGCGTATCAACAGCGAATCGGTTACTCTGGAGACAAATACTCAACAGGCAATGTGCGCATCTCGACCCATTCCCCGGTACTTCATCATCTCCTTGATATATCCAAGTTACTCATGTTGAAGAGGTGCTGCAGGTCCCAGTTTCCGTGCCGTACCTTGACATCGCACAGGAGGGTCATGAGGAGCTTGGCATTGGGACTTTGCGCGCCTCCCGGCCTCAAGACGTTCTGCAGCTGTTCGATCCCGCCCTGCTTGATGCGCTCCTAGGCAGATAACGAGCCATAAATAATTGCCATACTTGCCATGCTTGCCGTGGCCGGTTGGCATTGGCCCAGTTGATGGCCTGGCTTAGGGCAGCGACTACAATAGCGTCTGTTGCCTTGTCGTACTTAGTGGCAACGACAAAGCCATCCATTTTGGCAAAGTTCTCCAAAGTCTCAGCCCCGTGGGAATTGTCAAGCATATGATAAGCCAGCCAGCACCGTCGTGGGTCGAGCGCGGCGAAATCTAGAAAGGAGGTTGTGACGGGGCGTTCGAGGTTTCTTATTGGTCCGTTAGCCTTGGAATTGATTCGAGGTTTCGGATCCTTCCAAACATGTCCTGTTGAAGAATGCGGCCGCGGCCGCTTTATCGCGGACGCAGTGGTCAAGGTGAGCACGCTGGCCAAGGCAGCAATTCTTTTTGTGGACCGTGTGACTGGGAACATGGGGTAGATGGCTCAGGGTTGTGCGACACGTAAATATGACTGAAGAAGTATGGTTTAATCAACAGAGGCCTGTATGTTGTCCCTTTTTGAACACACTTATCGCGGGAACAATCGTTTTACTGACGGATTCCGGAACCTCGGGTCTCGGCCCTTCCTAGCGGTTGCCTACACTGTCGATCGCCAGCAGAGCCGCGGCGTCATGTATCCTTAACACTAATCGGGCGCCGGGCGGAGTCTAGACCACCTCCTCATCCTCACCGGCGCGGCAGTGATTCGAGACGAGACGTTGAACAACGTGGAGCGTAAGCTAGAAGAGGCCTCTTCTCTCTGGCCCATTGATGTCGCGGTTAAATATAACGGCATCAACTTTGCAGAAATCGATATTAACTCGCCATATCCCAATGAGTACGAAGTAGACATGAAGATCAAGGGCCGGGCCGCGGCCATTGTGTCTTTTGCATATGGGAATCATTCAGCTATCTGACAGACTGCTGAGCGTTGCTCCATTGGGCTAGGCCACCAACCTCGTCGCTAATCGCGAGTCCATTACGGATACGACGGGCGGCTTTGCAATCTTTAAGACGCTGCTAATCGACGGCGCACATGAGTTTGCCGAGTACATTGTCCTTAAGCTTGTGCCACGAGGCGTATTTCGGACTGAGTATGAAGAGAAGAGCTTGAGGGAGAGCCTGGGCATTCCTAGGCCCGTGAATCGATATGGTCGGAAGAAGTAGCAGGGGTTGGCGATCAGCATATTCCACCAGATATTGCGCGGCGTCAATTGAAAGTCAGGTAGTCATATTTGAGTGATGTGCCTGCTTTTTTGACAACCTCTTCTTGGTGATCTTTGGGGAACGCCGCCGTTTCTGTCTACCGCGTGGCAGAGAGGTAAGCCGAACTGACCAATGTAGTTCTCTATCAATTTCTCCGTCTTTCAGATGGTTTCTCACCCACCTCAGAAAGTCCAGAATCGTGGTCGAAAGCTCAATATAGATATTTTAAGCCGCTACGGGCGACCTGACGAGCATTTCCAAGATAGTACTGGATATTGGCCAGCACAGAGAACAAGACTGCCAATGATGACAGAATCAGAATGAGCTTCCAGCCCTCACGGTACACCGGCGCATCTTCTTGACGAAAGACTTGCTTCCCAACAAGCCCCGAACAGTTCGCGGCCATGATATGAATGGCCATGGTGATTGACCGTTCACCGGCTGTTTTCGCGTTCAGCGATACCCACGAACCGTTGACGGGATCTCCACTAGTGTGTCAGTCAAGGTTCTGTGCTGTACAGCATTTGCAAAGGGGTTGTATAACTCACGCCACGGCCATGAGAGTGCGATCGTGATTGTAAGTACGGCAAACCGTGCTGCTTTATCGTGAGACGCTGCCAGACTCCAATTGCCAATCTGTCAACTGAGTCAGAGCGTTGCCAACTGCAGAGGTTGTTGGATGAGCAAATTCGTGTGCTGAGGATGTGCTTACGCTCAGTGCCCAGAAGATGACCAAGCCTAAGATTACCCAAAGTCCCCGAATGCGTGTTCTATCACTGCATTCAATGTAGTTAGTGAGTTACTCAGCATACCACCATGTTGAGTACGTACGCGGCCCATCCCCAAAATAAGATCGAGAACAATAGCATCCAGTAAGAAATGGAGATCAACGCATTGGACTCGAGTCTGCCATAGCCCATTCCAGTTACCAGAGAGGGTGCATACGACCCGAATGCTGAGGACGGGGCGAGTCCGCAAATGGTCAGGCCAACGTGCGGCAGAAGTCGCCAATTGCTCAGCTAAGTCGTGGTCAGCTGAAGTCCCAGAGAATATGGACAAGGCTTGACTTGCAGCCTGCTTCGTTTCTTGCCAGCTGATGCGTGGCCGGGACTGGGACTTGGATGGGTCATCCCGAAGTATTCTTGCGACCATGATCTGTCGCTCACGCTCTGTGAACCACTTGAACCTGAGTAAAGACGTAGGGTCACTTGGGCTCTTGGGGAAAAACGAGAGGAATGTAACACCCACGACGACCGTGAAAACTCCCTCTAACTGTGCCATCGTGTCAGTGTGCTCTCCCATCTGTGTAACCTTCTGCACATCAAGGCGCACAAGTGATAGTCTTACGATAAAAAGCCACTGCCATCCACCCAAGCCAGCAATGCCTCTCATACGAAGGCTGTAAGACGGAGTCAGAGGTGTTTGTTTCAATTCATTATCAAAAACTCACATTCCGAAGGCAATGAGACCAGATGTCGCAGAGGCCAGCATGTTGCCGAGGAAGAAAATGGAGAATCGCTTGCTAGTTTCATTTCGTTTATACCAGCGGGTTATAGTGTAAAGACTACCAGGAATGAACCCAGCTTCTCCAAGTCTGGAACGATATCTGTGTTAGTCGAAAGGCCACTTTAATAGCCAGGACTGGTCCATGAAGGCCAAGCCTACTTATAAATTCGGCCTGAAGTAGTCGCTACTCACCCTAGAAGAAATCTTGTCACATAGTAAGCAGCAAGGCCCTTTTGGAAAGCCTGAAACGTTGCAATAAGGCCCCTAAAATTTGTTAGAATGCCTTCAAGAGCTTCAACATGGCACTAACAGTTACGTACCACGCCATCATCTGGCCACCCAGCCAAAGTACGGGCCCAATCCGATAGAGAACCAAATTAATGGGTATCTTTAACTCGTTAGTATGGAAATAATTGACCATTGGGAATAGATTTACCTCAAGTATAATGATTCCAAGCGACAACAGCTGCTGGCCGATATTAAAATGATTTTGTGTGATGCCGATGTCGCGCAGGAAAAAGTCTGTCAAAGCGTTGCCTCTGTGACGATGGTCAATGTCACTCATCCCGCATTTCTATGATATTCAAGGTACTCACATGTTTCCGCGGTCAAGTTGTAACGCATAAAATCCAAGTGTCAAAAGAGGCATGATGGCAGTGTCAATCCTGTCACGCATGCCTGTTAGCTATGGTTCAGAAGGACGGAGTTGGCTGAGTGAAGGAGTAAGTGTTAAGTACTTTCTCACCAAGAGCCTCTCTTCTTCATCTGTCCATTCTATAGGGGAGCTTTGTTCGTCCTCCGAGTTGAATTTGTGCTTGACTGACGTCTGAACATCTTTCTCAGTGACGTCTGCGATCATGATGACGTTTGGTCGGCTGCGACTGAACGATGACTTTGTAGTGATGAAAACCGTATCACACTATTGAAGCGGCAGCACGGTCTCACATACTCTTGACAGGATATGGCAATGATGATATAGGTCATCAGGCTTTTCTTTCCCTATATCAACATCTAAGAGTCCTACAGGGTGGTCGTGGCGCCATGCCGTGACGGGGTTGCACCACGTACACTAAATAGCTGTTGTGACTTGGATTTACAGTGGGATATTGTGGTCTCCTTGATCCCGGCGCCCAATAACTTACGTGCATTTCTCAAGTGGCTTATTGTTGAGCTCAGCTCAGGAAGCCCTAGGAGATATCGCCTGCGAAAACACTGGCGGCAGACCTTGGGGCGGAAAATACGGATCACGGAAGCGGATGACCAGCAACTTCGCCTCATATCTGCGAGTTATAGCGGGGCGTTTTCGTCGCTTTGCTTCTGATGGTGGGTCGCACGCGATCGCTACTCGGATTGACGCCATAATCACTGTAGAATGGGTACTAATGAAAGTCACGAAAAACACTGGCCGGCCTCGTAGATGCTTTATTCATACCGGGCCTGTAATTCGATTGATGAATTTTTTTACGCCTCATAATTGAAGTTTTCGATCAGACACCAGATTTTTAACTGCATCTAGACGGCCGAGATACTCCATTGATGGACCGGCTAGGCAGGTCTAACAAACGGGTCCGTCAAGCGTGCGAGCCGTGTCGGTGAGTCCATGTCCGCTTCCGTGTCCGCCTTGCCCACGCAATGTAGGGTTCACATTATCCATGCGTACTCACATACATCAGCCGAAAGAAGTCCAGATGTTCCGGCGAGCAGCCTGCTTGTTCGCTTTGCGACCGGCTCCAGCAGCCGTGCAGCTATGGGCAGGATCCGCTCCCGCCGGGAGGAGACACGGAACTGCAGGCCGATAAGTCCCGCTCGGGTGGTTCGATCCTTGGAAAGAGAGGTCCAGACGAAACTGCAGACACACAAACTGCCACCGACACTCTTCTGGTATGTTTAGGCAGGCAGCCGATACCTATTTCTCTTACGATAGGACACCTCATTATCGTAATGCCGGCTGACCGGGTTGCGTGGTCAGCACCACCGCATCATCTCTCTAGAGCTTGCATTATCTAATGTAGTTCAGACTTTGAGGGGAGATGCATTGTCATCGTCCAATACGAAGCGGCCTTCGTCGCCTGCACTGCTAGTTTCCAGTCAGCTCGGGACGTCGCCGGCACCAACACTGGATCTATCAAGGTCAAGCTTGAGGGGCTCAAGGCCGCCGCATTTGTCATGCAATCAGACCATTCCACCAGATCTTTCGCTCAAACAGATTGCTGAGACATATCAGCGATATTGTGACTGTCAACCATTAGCTCTTTTTGCGAGTGAGGGAAATTCATTTATCGACACTTTTATCGATAGAGATGACGAGATCATCTGTGCCGTCATAGCCATGGCAGCGCGGTTTCTGGATGACGGGGGGTTGAAGAGTAGGAACATCTGCAATGTCGAAGACACGACGGAGAAAGCTTTCCAACTTGCCATGCAAAGAGTGATGAAAGGCGCAGTCGAAGTCTCAACCTTGCAGACATTCTGCCTCTTAGCCTTGTTGGATATCGATGGTGGGCCGATTCAAACGCAATTCTTTCAATGCCGGTGCTGACCTGTGACCAGCTGGACGGCATGACAGGGCGAGAATGCTCTGTGTTCTTGCGCAAAACCTGGGAAACTCATCTCAGATCCATCTGGAACTACCAGGATCTGGTCTTGAGCGAGAGGAGCGACAACGGTGCTACTGGGCTATAAGCCTGCTCCAAAATCTGTTAGGAGAACGCAGTAGTCACTGTATGGTCAGTTTGGTTTCTCCGCCACCATTCCCCCGAAATCCAGGGGACACTTCGAAGGGACCGGTCCTCCTCCCGAGTCACACATCAAACAAAGAAGTCGCCTCGTTCAACGTTGCGGAGATTGTGACGAAGGTTTCAGAAGTGTGGTGCAAGGCGCAGGTTTACGTCAAATCCTGCAGTCCTTCGTTGGTTAGAGAAAGGAGGTTTCCATGGCAGCCTGGTTCTCATTTTACCGAAACAACAAACGCCTTTATGGACATTGCCACTAACCTTCCTCTCAGTCATAGATACAGATCTATGAACTTTTCGAAAATGACTCGCGAACTGCTTGAGGCCGATCATACCTTCTGGAGCTCGTGGTTCCTCAGCCGGCTGATGTATCACACCATCCCCTGTCTGCTGAACCACCCTCTTCTCTTGACTCTCCAGATCCACGGGAAACACAACGTAACGGAAGCTTTTTTGCACCAGGCTGCCTTCTCTATCACCAATCATGTTTCTTGGTTCATGCACTTTCTACAGATCATGAGGTCGAGGGACTTTGTCTCCAATGATTTGGTCATGGTTTACTGTACAACAGTCATTGCGACGATCGAACTTCAGAGATCATTGTCGAGAGAGGTGGGAAAGGAGTCCCACGCCAAGAGGAGCCAGGAGAACTTCGATGAATGTCTCAAATTCATCACGAACATGGAGGCGAGATGGGCGTACGCAAGTCGAGTTGTAGGCCGGCCCCTCCTAGCTGTATTGCTTATTAAGAAAAGGTCCCCAGCAGCTGACTTGTCACTAGTCTCAGATTCTGCTCAGCCTGTCTGTGGAAATGCCTTCTTGGATTCGTTCGAATTACTCTGAGGAGGAGGAAACCATCGGGATCAACCTTGCAAGGATATTAAACATCTTGGACTTCAGTGCGGCAGCCTCAAACTCGATCAACGGAGCATCATCTTCGAAGTCTCTGTTTGGACCCTCCCTCCTAACTCCACGCGACTTGTTCGAGAGAAAAGCGTCCAATCAAGTCACACGCTTGCCGCGGATTGACCCGACGGAGAGACACCCGACTGCGAGTTCTCTTGGGTTGGTGCCCAGTCCGTTGAGCATGCCCCTCAGCATAGATGGAAACACACCATATAACGACGTGACCCTGTTGACTGGAGATTCGAGCTTGGATCGTGGAGCTGCAGAAAGGATGTCGCTGGCAACAAGCGATGTTTTCAACACTTTACACGATTTCTCCCACTGGCCTTACATCACTGAACCACCAGACATTTAGGAGGGACTTCTTGCTGTCAGGCAGGGTCTTGAAGCATAATGAAAGAGATTGTCGTACCGTCGGCACCGTAGTCACTGGCTTTGTGCATGGTAGAAGAACGTCCAACATCTTTCTCTGTCTTCACAAGATTTCTCGCGCAGCTCTATGTGCTTACGTTCTCGTGACCTTCGCTCACTTAGTACATCCGCTTAAGTCCCTGCTTCTGAGGCCTCTGCAGATGCCTTCTAGTACTTGCTCTCTTTAGCCGTGTCGGAGCGTGATGCACAGCGGAGTGAAGGGGCCTTCCTGCCTAGATCCGCAAGCAATGTATAATAGGTGTGGGGTTAGAATACATCTGAGTTCTGGCCCTCCGCAGCTAGGATGCCCCCCCGCACCCCTCATACACGCGTTCTCGTAGTCCCAAGCACCTAACCAGCCCCCGTTCCATGGCTCCGAAGGGGCTTCTTCCTGATAAGTCGGCGGTGAATCAGGAAATGGCTTAGTTCAGCAAGCTTTGATGTCCCTGGTAGCCTTCAAGCTATACGTCTTTCTTCCCGCTCATAGTTAGGGGCACATGCTGCAGAATCTAGTGGCTTGGCAGATCTATTCAAAATCAAGGAGACATGATTTCTCATAGTTCTTCGTTCCACTGAACAACTATTGCGGGGTGTTGATCCAATGCAGACGCCGGCTTTCCAGAGACGTAGACGTCCCGCGTCTTCCTTAAAGTTTTTCCGTTATCATCGACCGCCTCCGCAAACAACACCGACCTTTCCAAGTCATTTATTCCCTGGAGCCTGATCTTGGTCTCGAATCCATCCCTCTGAGCCTTACCCACCAACACAGCGGACTCACCAGTCGAAGGACGGGAGTACACTTGCCATGTTTTGGTCTCCGTGTCTCCGTTCCATGATACATAGATATCCACAAAAGTCAAAGTTGACTCCCGCGAAACGAAGGTCGCGATGGCAGGTTCCTCGGCAGGGATGGCCGTCCAGTTGGCGCGAAATCCACGATAACTTTGCACAAACGTGGAGACGGGTGCCGAGTCCAGGTAAGCATGGAACAAGACCTGCCCGCCGTAGCTGAATTCTGTGACGGCACCGGCTTCACCCCAATTGACAAACACGTTGCCATTCGGCAATAACTGCACGCTGCCTTGAGTGCGTGCCGACAAGCCATCAGGGGCGTCGTACGTGTGGAGTGACGTAGCTACGCCGCTCGTGTGGTTCAGCTGAACGATGCGAGCGCGTGAGTAAGGGCGAATTTTGACTGGGGCCGAGTGTGCGCCATTGTCAAAGAAAGAGAGGGTCTCGAGGCTTCCGTCCAAAGAACGGCCTCGGAAACGGGCGTGGTGTTGGAACGCGAAGGCCTCGGTTTCGGCGATCTCAAAGTCAGAACCGCCGCTGTAGCCTCCCAGCTGCCATATAATTTCTCCACTTGTGCCGTTGATCTTGAAAAGCGCAGCTATGTTTCGCGCGGAAAGGAGATAGTGACCCTCATCGTCCTTGTCGACACTGTTGATGTGGAAGTAGTTCCAGGCGTCAGTCTCGTTGCGGCCGGAGCCCGGAAGACCAGGACCAAAGTCGAGAGGAAAGGCGCTCACTAAGATTGATATCAACTTGTTGTATCGTAAGAGGATGTATTTGTACCAAAGAACTTACACGTCGGATCGACATGGTCCAGACTTTCCCACTCAAACAGCACGTCACCCGTCTCAATATCGACCTCTGTAGTCACTTGAGTTAGACAGACCGAAAGAGAGTGAGCCTTTAACGTGAGAGCTCACCTTG